TTCCCTCATCGATTTTCTGTTTACTTCATGACAAAATAATTATGAGAGAAAATTAATACATAAAAGTAAATAACAAATGAGCATCTTAAATAATTAAGTTTCCCAGCATTTATAAGTTCAAGAAGAAAATAAACTAAAATTCTGCTTCCCGGCTATGTGTATTCTTTTCTTTGCGAAACTATCCAATTTGCAGTTACAAGGTATGCTAATTAGTATGACGATATGTAACTTCGTTAAATCAGATTTCCCAAACATGTTCATTAGCATAACGTGATTCCTCTACACGCCCAAGAATGTTTGTAACGTTTATGCTGAACCATCTTGAACACATGTAGTTTATTACACATCATTTTGTTTTTTTTCTGCCCACAGGATTCACCACGAGAGGAAACAAAAGAAAACCGATATTATGAACAAGATCATCTCAACTCTCCTTTTACTGGGCTGTGTTTCCTTTTGTAACACTGCCAACTTACTAGCTATTTTAACTCTAGCCTCGCCTAGCATTCGTTTGTGGAACACAGCTCTCCTGACCGAACTAGCCAATAGAGGACACAACGTCACAGTTCTAAGCACCGAAAAACAAAAGAACACAGTGGCAAATCTGACTGATCTACCCCTAGATGGTATTTACGAATATGTCGGAGGAAGTTACAATTACGACGTTTTGTCTGAAGCTTCCACATTCTACTGGATGCAAGAAACATTTGTCTATTTTGAAAAGGGTTGCGAATTTACGCTTAGAAGTAAGAGCTTTAAGCAGTTAATGGACTATCCGCAGGATTTTAAATTCGATGCGGTTCTGATGGAACCAATAGGCGTGGAATGTTTACTGGGGCTTCTTCCAAGATTTGGGGACCCACCAATCATAGCCGTAAACAGCTTCTCCGTCCCCATGTGGGTGCTTGACATCACGGGTACCCCTGCAAATCCGGCGTACGTGCCCCACTTTTATTTACCTTTCGACGACAATATGAATTTTCAAGAACGTGTTTTGAACTTTCTGGCCTACACGTACACCAAGGTTTATTACGATTATTTTTACATACCGTTCATGGAAAGAGAAGCTAAGGCGTTCTTTGGACCACAGATACCGTCTGTGTACGACACAATGCATAATGTCAGCGTTGCTCTGTCGAACTATCACCCAACGTTGGACACTGCATTTCCAGCCGCACCAAACCTGATTCCCATTGGTGCCATCCAGGTGAAAGATCCAAAACCACTGCCAGCGGTAAGAACTCCATTTAATAACAATGACGCGCAAAGCGTACAGGGCGAAATACTAAGGCTTAGCGACACACGAGCGTCGCAAAACGTACGTCGGTAACGTCCGTCAATTTGACGTCCGTTGGTTGATAGTTCACACGGACACGATCGCCGCGCTACGGACGTCATTTGTCCTGTGTTCTCGCGCCAGCAAACGTGGATACTTAGGAATTAGTAATTGTGTGATACATTGGAATGAAAATTATGAAAAAAGGAGCAGGAGATGGTGTATTAATTTCATTAATATAGAAGGGATTTTGAAGGGAAAACTTAACACCCTCTTTCAGATTTTATGCAACGGCGGTGAGACATTTTTTAAATTATTTCTGTATGTCGGGACTGTCATTCAGAGAATTGCTATCGACATACATAAACATATTAAACGGTAAGATACCAATGTGAGCTACAGGGTACATCCAGAAGAAATGCTTACATCTTCACTTCATTTAATTTTCTTTCAATGTCGACTCTATTCATTGTATGAATGGGAAAACGTCCGTTAGCTGCTGTGGACAAATGCTAACAACGGACGTCACTGAAGCGAGCTAGTGTGCCACAGGCTACAAGAGACCCTGCTGCTCTACGACGGACGTACTTTAACGTCCGTCATTTGACGGTCGTGTGTCACTAGCCTTAAATTACTAAGAGTGGCGATAATTTAAGTCAAGTGAATGAAATCAAATATTATTTTAAAAGTCACTAATTCAATCAAAATCATTTTGCCTGCTTAGTATGTTAAATATCTTTAAGTACAACCTTGTACTAATAATAAATATCGTTTCCTAGGACCTCAAAAAATTTCTTGACGAAGCAAAGGAAGGTGCAATATACATGAGTTTTGGAACAAACGTACGCAGTGATCAGTTGTCATTGGAAAAGCGAAAGATGATTCTAAGTGCTTTTGCTGACTTGCCCCAAAAAGTGCTATGGAAATTTGAATCGGATATACCAGATGTACCAAAAAATGTGTTGATACGCAAATGGTTGCCCCAGAGTGATATCTTAGGTAAGTAATTAACACGAATAAAGAGATGAACTCAGATGAACAGGTCATGTCATATTCAAGTAGCGAACATTTATTACATTTAATAAAATGTTACACAAATCAAAGACAGGAATGTCTAAATGTTGATTTGTGGTCAAATTACTCGCAAGTTTTGTTGAGGTCTCCTTTTTCTACTGTGGGAGGACTAAGGCGTGGGGGAGGTACTATTCCAACAGTACTACAAAATCTAAATGTACTTTTTTCTATTACTCCGGAGCACAAAAATAACTATTTTCCAAATGTTGCCTGCCAAACATGATTGTTGGTACCTTTATTCATAATTCAACTACGTAACAGAAAAAAGTGTAGTGATTTTGAAACTCAAGAAAACGTGTGTAAATTATAATTCACTTCTTTTAAAGAAGAGCGCGGCTTTGCCCTGCAATCCGTATATCATAGTTATTGGAAAAGAAATGCGTTCTATCTGTAATGTAAAATAGAAGATATTTTATTTATGATTTACTAGTTAATTGCAATGTGTTTATGGACCTGAAAAAACATATGTAATGGTATATTTTACACTCTTACAGGCCTTTCGGGTTCTTAATTCGCACGCGAGCGTTTTGGACACTGTATGCACGCTCCGTTAACAATTTAACCAATAACATTCTATTTTAATGATTTCATTCATTAAGCTTAAGCACTACGAAAATAAATAAACAAATGTAATAAAGTTGAAATACGGATAATAAGGCAATATAAACATATTGTTGAATTAAGATGAAAATTGCAATTTTGGAATGTTCCCTTGAATTTAAAATTTACATCAGTCACTCTTATTTTTTTATTACGTATTACATTTTATTTTGTAGATTCATGCTTCTTAATAAGTACTGCCTGTGGTAATAGATGTATAAGGCACACCGACTAACATTCTCGAAATGTTATTTTTTTGGATAAAATGTAATCTTCTAAATAGCTTTCGCCAATAGACGCAAATAACCTAAAAGTAGAGTTGTATTTAAGTAATTCACTCTTATTTTACCTCTAACTCGCCAATACACAATACTCACATTCATATACTTCTTCAGATTTTACTGAAAAATCCGTCCTTAGCTTCTTTAGCAATTTCGAGCATTTCCGCAGGACAATATTCTAACATTTTGTACGAATACGAACTAAACTGTATCCAATGAACACAGAGTATCCAATAGTAATGAGATACGCACTGTTTGGTGTATATGACACCATATTGACAATTGACGATTACAAAGCGTCGTTTCACATTTTCATGCAAGAGATGTTTCGAGTTCTCTTTGGTTCAGCAACAAGTAAATAATAAAGTTTTGTATACATCATTGGCGTTAGTTGATATTTTTGCCCCCTCCCCCAGGCGAATTCCAAACCTTTGAGCCAGAAACACTTAAGCTTGGAAGTCGCATTCTGGGCAAAAACATGTACTTAAAGCCCAAGATACATAGCATAAATACCTGTAATCCACTTTGATTAGGTAAAGTGAAACATTATGCTATTATAACCAGTTTCGAAATTAAGTACGTTACCGCTCTAGTGTGATGTACTTCATTATTACAGTAGTGAGGTAAAGAAATGGCGTACTTTGCCACTCTTTCTTTTAAAATATTTTGGAATTCTTTGTGTTTTACCCTACATTTTCCCCCTTTAAAAACTCTAACAACTGAGTAAATGAGTTTCTTTGCATTTCAATTTGCACGAGAACTTTGGAAATTGTCGATAAATTCCCGAATCTAGAAGCGGGGAGGGGATTTATCTTAGAATTTCCAAAGCACGCATGGTATTTAAGAGGACTAATTCCACGAGTGAAATTATGTCCAACAGAGTTCCAAAATGCACCAAATAGTGAAAATAACTGAAATCGTATGTTAACGTCAGAGGTTATTTTATAGTACATACGCTGTTTATTGAACTTTGACATAGCGATCCATGTACACCGCCTCCTAAGAAAGATGAGTGACAGTTCATGATTTGACCAGTAGGTATAAACGGTAAGAAAAACCGGATAGAATAAGCGATAAACTTTTTGAGACACACCGCTCTGACTGGGGCTATGTATAGTTAAACACTATTGGTTTTAATTTCACGAGTGAAATAGTCTAAGTAATCATCATAAATTGACAGACATTCATCAAATTCAAGATAAGATCCAAACGAATATGATATTACCTAACGAAGTTGGGCTAAAATATATCTGTATATTAAAAAAAATAAAATCTATTGAGCTTTCTCCTAAAACGTAATTTCAGCTTCGTTAATTTCATTCTATAAAGTGATCTTGCCTGTAATGTTCAATCGTATTCTGTTACAGCTCATCCCAACATCAAAGTATTCATTACGCATTCTGGATTGCACAGCACTCACGAAACGATTGTTAGAGGGGTACCCGTAATTGGAATACCCTTTATTATAGACCAACATCCGAACATAAGGAAGATGGTAAAGTTGGGCTGTGGAATTCATTTGGAGTACAAAGACCTCACGAAGGACTCTTTGATTCAAGCGATTCGCGAAATAATTGGAAACCCAAGGTATGTACTTTATATGAGGGTGTCAGCGCAATAGTGGCCTATCCCCAGATCCTGTGTTTGGAGAAAATGGCTGATGAAGTTGTTTTCATATTATGATATTATGTAAGAATGACCACTGACTATACATTTGTGGTGGATTACATCTTGTGTAAAACAGCATCGCCTATGCTTAGGCCACTATTGCACAAAGAAATGTAATCGTAAGCTGAGTGCAATAGTTATTTTTGTAATTATAACTTGAAAACTATCGACGCAAACATGCTGAAACTGTTACACGTTGAAGTTAGGGAGATTAAGATGTTATTAACACAGAGAACGCAATTTCCCAAAAATGTGGGCTAGACCACTATTGCGCTGTCACCCTCATATAAGACACCAGCCCTGAGGAAGACCACTATAAGATGGTCGAAACGTCGGCAATACAGCCTTCGACGCGGCGTCACCCAGATAGCCAAGATCATTCACATTTTCATATAAATTGCCTACGTAATACTCGGAAGTTTGTTTCTGATCTGAGAACTCCAATGGACGTGTTTTTTCTCAACCGCTTGGAAGAGAAGGGTCCTCCGCCCTCATTTTCGTAATAATCCTGTACTTAAAATTTCAAAGCCGATCCCGTGGCTGAAATCGCTAAGATAGTAGTATCATAGCGATCTCAGACCGAAGGATAAAGGATTGGAGTCCCGCCTCGGGTATGGTTGTATTGTGTTCGACCTTTCACCCCCTATCATCATCATATCGTGTCATCCTCACAGTTACCATACCTTTAAATGCAATAGTGGTCGCTAATGACCTAAAAGTTGATGCGACCTTAAACAACAACAAAAAATTCAAAAATATATGTACGCAAAGTGTTCTATTTTAGAAACGTTTTGCGTTAGTTCTGATGAAATTTCTCTCTAAATGACCGTCACGTTGTATATTTTCAATGCCTTAAATTTTATTTGAATGTTCTGTGATCTTCAAATGTCTGCTTCACCCCCTTTCGCTCGTTACGCAAATTATGGAATGGAAAGCATGCAACACAATAAGTTCTCGAATTTTTTGATAATATAAATTTCTAAATATTTTAAAATACTTTTTCAAAAATAAAAACTATTTCTCCCACGGCATACGTGCCCCAAACCAAACAAACATTAATTTCCCGCTTGACAATGCTTTCGCGCTTCTTTGTACTACCTTTAAGACAGCAGTACTGACCAACAAGCAGAATATTTTAACACTCATCAGCCTCACCTTCGACTTTTTAAATGAAACTATCTCTACATTTCACCTTATGTTAACATTTATAACCGCCATTACACAACCAATGCCACTTCCATCGCACCACAAGGCGAAGGCCGATGGTTACCTAACAAAGTGAACCATTTTTCCTCGGACTTGACCTTTTTGAATTCCTCCACTTTTCATCGGACTTGACCTTTTTCTGCGACGCAAGTTCGCAATCCTGTGCTTTTTGTTCGGAGAACGAGGACATCGTGTGGACATGGGTATCGGCGACAGCACAAGACATTTTTCAGGCGGAATTGGAAGCCGCCTTGTATTGCTTGTTTTATGTACTTGTATTTTATCCTACCTCTAGTCTTTTGCTGTACTGTGACAACGCGGCGGTTGTGGCCAATCTACACCGCCGCGTTGCACACTCTAATGATAGTGTTATGTAAGCTATAGCTCACACTGTATTCTTATGTTTAAAATTTGAATGTGTATGGATTTCTACCGAATGTAATAAAGCTGACCGCTGGTCCCGCCTGCCTCCGGCGGATCACGCTACCCCTGACCAATCCCTACCCGTCACCACGCAACGGCGGTTCCTGGCAACGGGCGGTAGCTTGCTCAGTCGGGGCAGAGACGCGGACCGAGACGGTCAAAACAATTTCAGATTACCAATTAATGTCTGTAGGTGTACCATTATTAATTCCTGTGTGCTGCTATAACTCATCTAACTAGAATTCTATGGCTGAGTCGCGCAGAAAAAAACTCTGCGCAGAAAAAACTGCGCAAGCGCTTAACATTTGGTTTGTCATGTGTGGTGACACTATTCTAATCGGTTTGTGACAGGTAACTTCCCTTCCGTATTCGTGGTTTCTCCGAACAAACCAGGAGGATGGTGGAGCCATATTATAATACAAGGGTCACGAACTGTGCGCGATCTTTCCTTCCTCATTCTTGTTCTATACCAGCACCTTACACACCCATTCAAATGCACTACACTACCACGCATGTCGGGAACTTATATCTTCTTACTGCTGGGGCGGAGCCCCGCTGGTGGGAGATACCTGGATGAGGAAAATCGTGTAGGTTGGCGCTGGGACACCATCTAGCGAGGGAGGGCTAATGCCCGTAGCAGTTGACGTGCTTGGAAACAACAATCAATCCATTCCGTTGTTCACAGGGATGTCGGCACGCGTTGGGTTAATTGATTGACTGACTGATTATTTCGTTTTCCGGGTACGTCAACTGTTAAGGTCATTATACACGTAGGCTTCCGCGGCTCGAGTTCATGACTTCTTGGCTGTCCGGGTGACGCCGCGTCGTTGGCAGACAGGCCGGCGTTTCGCCTGTCATGTCACAGGCTTCTTCCTCACTCCCCTGAAGAGGCCTGCGACATGACAGGCGAAACGTCGACCTGTCTGCCAACGACGCGGCGTCACCCGGACAGCCTAGAAGTGATAAGATCATTAGTCCCATAAGTGTAGAGCAAGTTTTAATCACGGGAGATGGCGATGTTCTTTCCCGCTGGATGGTGAGACCCGTCGCTGACATACATGTCGAGTGACAAATATTCATGTTATTCAGAAATAGAATTTAAACATC